GCTATCTGGTTTATCTTGCCTTTGAAGGATTCTAACTTGAGCTTCGGAGCCCTTACGCCGGGTTCTCCCCGGAGCTTCTCTTCTCCTTCCGTTTCAGATCCCTGTTACTCAGTTTAGAGACAAGATCATTGACAGTTAAGACCGGCCAGATTGTGCATCATCACAAGCAATGTAAACTATTCTTTGCTAATCTCTGAGCAGTGAACAGCTGCTTGTCTCGTGGCGGCCGGCAGGATTTCTTGCAAGCAAAACCTGATCTGCACATATACCATGGAAATAAATTCGGCTATGAGCAGAGCTTTTACTTGTAAAACATCTGTACTGTACTGTCTTGTGACTCGTGCTTTTGTCAAACATATATACTAAATTTTTAGCACATCTTTGTTTAATCAACAATGGTAGAGGTAGAGGTAGAGGTAGAGGTAGAAGTAGAGGTAGAGGTAAAGGGCACGTATTAAAATTTTTGAATAAGATGTAATTATTCTGATGATCCTGATCGCGGTTGATAAAGAACAGTGTTTAATCCTTAATTATACTATACTGCTAATCACAATACATTGCTGGCCACACTCATCCAGTCACATATATGGAATATCGTCGGTTGTAATCCAATTTCAGTTTTTAGAAAGAAAAAAAATTAATTATTACAATTAGCATATTTTCAAGCATTAATTCCTTCCAAGTTCCAACCATTAAACAATGTTTCACAAGTGTATATGCGTGGTATCCGACTAGTTCATGATACTTCACACTAATGAAATATTTTTTTTTGTAGCTTCTTAAGGTTTTATTTGTATTAAAATTGCCTTGCAATTCTCAGTTATTGATGGCATTGCCCCGCAAACCAAACCAACCCTTATCATCGATCGGCTGTGTTATATATTATATTCCTTGACGGTTTTGGAATTAAAGCAAAGGCGGTACATGTGCAACCACGATTTCGATAGATTGTTATTTCAATATCTCAATGCTCGTAATTCATTCAATTAACGCGTAATCAATAAACCCCAACACCATGCACTTGGTTACATTAATTTCTAAATAATTAACTTAATTACTCTTTCTCTCTCTCTCACACACACACATTGCACACACCCACTGTCTATTCCTTCTCTAACCTCCATCCCTCATTTAATGGTCTCCATGTAATACAACATACATGCATCCATGCATTTCTGATTCATTTGTTATTTTTATAAATATAAACTACAAAACAATTATGACCCCAAAACTGTGATGCAGGCAGGATTCGATCACCATTACAACCAGTTGTGTTTTAACTTTGGAACTCGATTAAAAGAAAAAATAAGAAATAATATTATGCATGCATAACATGCAATACAATAAGTATATATATATATATATATATATATGTATTATGATTCATGCAATACAATAAGTATATATACTAGGAGCAGCAGGAGAAGAGCATTCAATCTGACTCTGTACGTCCCCTTGGTTTTGATTGGTAATCGTAAAGGAGTGAATACCATTAATTAACATCCTTCCCCATATTCCATAAAATAATTGTAACACCCTCCCAAGTCATGCGCACCAACTCCCACTCTCCTCCTCCTCAACCTCAATTTAAAGGGACCCTCCATAGTCCATACCATTTCTCTTCTGATTCCATTCTCTCTCTCTCTCTCTCATATACAGTACAAACACACATGGATTCTAACCATGTAAAAGTGGAGAGCGAGCAAGTGTTTGAATGGTTATACTTGCAGCAGGGAGAAGGAGAATCACATCTAAGGTAATAACAAATTAGCATACTTGTAGATTGTTAGTTACTTAATTTCTCTCTAATAATTTGGAGAGTTAATCACACTCTTTGGTGCATCTTCCTTTCTAAAGCAAAATATATAATCCTTCCCTACTCCTAATTATCCACTTCCACATGGATTATTTTCACTGTTTCTCTTTAATTTGCTGCCTTTCTAGCTAACGAAATCCAAATGTGCATGCAGTACTGGATTCACTGTGCCGGTAGAAACCTTAGAGCAGTCATGGCATACTTTCTCGGAACCCCAGTACGAACCAATGGAGTTGATGATGTGGTGGCAATGGCAGAACCAAGTACAAGAGTTGGAGTTCAAATATGCCAATGATGATATATATAGTGATTTTGGATCGTTCGAGGCTAGTTTCCCATGTTACCATGAAAATCGAGATAATACTATAAGAAAAGTGGCTCCCCTTAATGCAGTAATAATGGATGGGAGTGACGACAGTGGCGGAAATGGTTCTTGCATTGAAATTCCAACAGGAATCACAGGAGCAATGGTAGAGAGCTCTTCTTCTTCTTCAAGCACCCAGCAGCAGAAAAGATTTGGACGGTCCAAGTCGATTTCAATAGATTTGGAAGACATTAAGAGACATTTCAAAGTTCCAATAACAAAAGCAGCCAAGGAAATGAAGGTGGGCTTGACAGTTTTGAAGAAGCGCTGCAGGGAGCTTCAAATAAAGAGATGGCCCCATCGCAAGATTAAGAGCCTGTCTTCCCTCATTCACAACGTTAAGGTAATTACTGTACATTACCAGTTCCCACGTACAAACCCATGAGAATCATGATCATGAGATAGGGTCATCAGATAATCCCAACCATCTGTCATTGGCCTGGGTCTACCAAATTAGTCAACTGATTAATTAGATGGTTGAGATTTCCCTGGCGCTATGTCTACTCTGAACTCTCCTTCGGGACAGGCCCACCGACGATGATGTTATTGTTATCAGTCAGCTTACTTTTTGGGTAAGAAAGGATCCAAAAAAACAAAAACAAACAAACAAACAAAACCGGCTTACTTGTTGCCTTTTTCTAGTATCCTTATTTTGTTTTTCTGTTGAACAACTGCTAACTTAGCGTAGAACCGTGAATGTGAGAAGGAGTTGGGAATGACAGAAGAAATACAGAAGCTGGAGGAACACAAGAGGGAAATGGAGAAGTTGCCCCAGATGGCGCTTACAGAGAAAACCAAGAAGCTGAGGCAGGTTTGCTTCAAGGCCAAGTACAAGATGAGGAGATCCTTGGCTGCTGCTGCTGCTGCTGTTGCTACAGACTAGTTTTTCTTGAACAAATTTTCATAATAGGAATATGAGAGAGCAATGGTTTGCTTACTTAGGAAATTATAATGAAGAGAGGGGGCAGGATCACTTATAAAATTAAAATGGAGTTTTACAAAATGTCCCAAATTTATTAACTTTGAATCTCTGAATGCAGAAAATGGTTGGCTCATTATTCATAGTATTATTGTAAATCCTGTAATGATTATCAAAAATTCAAGATTCAAGGGAATCCTCCCACTTGATGCTTTGTTCTCAATGTCTTGTTTTTTCATGGAATCACCCATCTCTTATTATATGCTCTTTACCTTGAAATCAATGACCAATTATTGTATTATTAATTAGGATAGTAGTTATTAAAGTAAAAGGGAAAAAGATGCAGAAGAGAATCAATAGTAAAACTCTGGAATTAAATAAGCAAATCTACCCTTGAGAAACCAGGAAACAGTAGAACTAGTTGCTGGATGCTGACTTTGTATATATAATTACAGATGCTCTTATGGACTGCAATTTGTTACCAGAAAAACAAGGTGGTATATCCTTCTTGAGATCCTCCTGCAACATCCTGTGAAATAAAAATGGAGTAGGAAGATGCCATCCTAATGATATTCCTACATTTGGTTGCTTTAAACCTACTAACTTGTCTAACTGGCTTAAGCTTTTCTTTCAAGATAAAGTTTATGAATGAAAAGTGGCAGGGAAAGTTCTTCACATACAACTCTGGATTTACATAGTTGAGGCCTACGAATTCAACCAAATTTTTTTGAAATATAACTCTGAAAGAAAGGACAATATATAAATAAATTAAATGGGGTTGTCTTCAGAAGAGAGAAAACCAATCTCTGTCATAGGTGTGGTTGTTTATTGGCTAAACTAAAAAAATGAACCAATTTCTGAAGAGAGAACCAATTTCTGATAGGAAACAAGACAATAAGCATTCTTGAACATTTTGAACTCAATCATCAGTCTTGGTTTGAAATGGACCGAAGATTGAAAAGTCTCAATAGCCTGTTCCGTTCAAAATACCATTTCAGTGCCAGAGTTCTGCATCATGAGTTTCACCAACAATCTGGAGGATTTCTGTAGAAAGATGGTGATACTATTTTACTACCGGTGTTGTGATGAATATAATGAGGTGGAGAGTAGGGTATTACTGGGTTACAGGAGAAATGGAGAACAGAGGGTTGGATGTAATCACAGAAACAGGGGATGATGGCCTACGGGCTTGGACCATTTTTACACACGGATGTCCACCATGATACTTAGTCTACATAATGTCAAAGGTTGTCAAGCAAAGTGAATTTTACTGCACTCTTAATTTGGTAGATTAAGAATTGTGTTCTTTAAAACGTGTTATACAATTGTTTACTGTTAGAGAAGGTGATTGAATCAACTTGTGACATTATTCATGGGGAGATTATGATGTTTGATGTGTTTGAAAGAAGTCAACATCACCATTGCATATATTTTATTTTCTATGCAATGGAGACAACTCATCCGCTTGTCATTTCCCTGATTGTGAATTGTGATGCATAATAAATTAATAATCTGATTGGAAGTTACCTCCAAGTCTACCATGTAGAAGAAACATCCATCACATTTGCTATATAGATAATAGAATGAATGTCTCTTTGGTTGACTAATTAATTCATCAAACCAATAGACTAAATTCATATAAAATAGACATGTATATAGTATAATATTAGTCAATCTGATATAAAATGGCTGCAAGAAACAAAGTGGTCTAGGGAATTTAGTTCATTTCATTGAGAATTAGCAATCGAGCTTGATTTTACACCCTAAGGCACATTACTTGATTTTACAGTAAAGAGAGATCCTAGATTTGAAGCTTCTCAATTATAACATCCCCTTTAAAATCCTAGATCTAGTATTATTACTTAGCCTCTTAATTTGATCTTGATCTATATTAGTAGATTCTATTCAAGTCATTTGCACTATATCCACCTCTAGCCTTATTTCCCCTAATTTTTTTACCTATATTTTGTTGACATTTGATGCTTTTAAACTGTAAATCTGAAATTCAATCTGTTCTGTTTCTCCCTTAACTCTAGATTCCCTTCTCAAAATGTTCTAGTTTTAGCCCTACTGCCCTTACTTTGCAGTACCATCAACTGGAACCTGATTCAACCCTAAAACCCTAAATATGGTGAAGTCCCTAACTTGTTCTGCAACATGCGGCGTTTTGTTTTCATTGCAAGAGATTCTGTTTTCATGCTTAACTTCATGTAAAAATGCAAGTAAACTAACTTTTACATAGGTTGGAAGAGAGAAACTTCCTGTTCAATAATGACTCTTAAAGATCAATTTAGAATCCTCTGTCTCGAGTTGTATATTTCCACAACTCTAAGGTGTCTGAAAATGAGCAATCATGCATTATGGTGCTCAATCAATGGCATTAGAAGTGACATGCTGCTAAATAAGAGCCAGAAACCTTTGAGTCAGCAAAACAATGGATCAGAATGTAGAACCAAAACTACTTCAAACAATTGAATTAGCTCCTATATACATATTCAACTGTAAGAATTTGACATGGACATACCTATGACACAACAATTCAGAGCCTTGCATTTGGCTTCTGCACACACAACACACAAAACATAAATACAAACTAGAACTTATGATCTATGAAATATGACCCTCTCATGTAGTTAAATGATTAAAAAAAATCTACATAGGGTTGTCAGCAAGGAAAATGATGCTAGTTACTGAAATGTATAATCCCCTCACATGCTAGGGTGCCCTCAAGATCTCCTATAATCCGAGCAATTCGGACTTCTAGTCCCCGTTGAACTTCATTGAAAAGAGTTCTGACACCATCAGCAAACCGCCTCAGATTGAAACCAGTGGATCCATCAAGCTCTTCGGCACCCTCAAATAAACCAGAAGCCACCCTGGATTGTATCTCCATCAATTTCTGCCCTGTTGCAACCATGTATCTTTGTAGTTGAAATGTTTCCTCGAGAAAGTGCTCCAATGTTTTAGTTTTCTCCTTTGTTATTGGCATATTTGAATCTCCACCACTCCCATCTGGATCTTTCTCATGCTGAAAAGGAACGAGTTGTTTATTAGGAAACATCAGTACATTTTTAGTTCTAACTAAATAAGCTAGTTCAGCTGATCACACAGTGGACTTGACTTTTATATTTCCAAATCTTTCCTGTGGTATAGACTATAGAGGGGTTAAGACTTGAGAACTTACCATCCGCTTGCATAGATTGTCAGTCTTCTCTTGGAGTGACTGGTACCTGCTAACTTGTTTATTGAGCAATGACATTAATAATAGGAAACCCTTTGCCTGTGAATGCTCTTGATCATCTTTCTCACTTTCTTCATAACTTCTTTGTGTTCCCACCAACCTCTCAAGCATGATGAGTTGCTGTTTCAGCCTTTTGATCTTATAGAAAACTCCAAGAGCCTGAAGATCCATCTTCCATGGAGAAGAATCCTTCTTAATAAGACAGTTCCCAATTGATGATAACTTACCAACAACCTCAACCTCCTCCGGACCCACAGACTTTTGTGGAACATGACCTGGATCAATGCCAACCTCTTTCTCTACTTCAATATCTCCTTCAGGGGATTGGACTGTGAAACTTATGTGACCAGGCTGGTCATCAATGGGGGGTTGTTCAGCCTCCACCTCCTGAGGAATTCTAAGCAAAATAGCCTTTGATTCTTCCTCCTTTTGCCTTGACTTCCTCTTTATTATCTTGACTTCAGAGCAAACAGCTTCGTGGTCTAGAGCCAGATCCATTGAGGATGAATTCTTGTCATTCTTTTGACAATGAAGGGATTGTAACTGTAAAGTGAATTTCTCTTTTAATGATTTCAATTCTGATTCTTTGTCTAACAATAAGGCTTCAAGTTTCATATTTTCCTCCCTGAGATGTGACATATTCTGGTCAAGTCCATCAATGTGGGATTGAAGCCGCTTGGACTCTAATTCCATGCTGAGCAACTTCCAACGAAAAGCTTCTAACTTCTCATCTTTGAGTCTCATTTGTTCCGCAAACGCATCTATCTCTAAGTGATGTCTTTGCTCGAGTACAACTGGGCACTTTTCCGTTTCTGAGTAAATCCAACCTTCCAACTGCCTAACATCTGTCGCCATCACTTCAAAACATGAAAGAAACTAATCAGAAGGAATCTAGAAGAAACACGTGATCATGATCCAAAGCCTTCGGACTGTAGACAGAACAATCAAAACTTTTAGGGCATCTAGACACGGAGCAATCAGAACCGAACCTAGGATTCATAATCCAGTTGGCTGTATCTGGTTACCAACTAAAACTTTATACTCACTAAATTTAACAATAAAAAAAACAAAGATTTATCAAGTAAAAATGGAATAAGAATTTTGATCTTACTGGGTTATCCAAACAGAACAACCAGGATTCTTAGTCTTAGGACATCTAGACACAGAACAATCGGAACCGAACCTAGGATTCCCAACCCAGTTGGTTCTTCCTGGTTACCTACAAATACTCTATTACTCACTGAGTTTAACATTAAAAAAGGAAAAAACAAAAGAAAAGATTTATCAAGTAAACATGAAATAAGAAGTTTGATCTTACTGGGTTCTCCATCTCCATCGGGTGAATATCCGTTGGAATCGTCAGGAGTTGCAGTAATAGTTCTCTTGGTGACAAAAGCTTCCCGCTCATTTCGGTGCCCTGCTTCCGAGTATTCAACAATAGGAGTTTTTAGGGTTGACTGCGATCCAGCTCTTCGATACTGTGAAGATCCTATTTTGACCAGGCGTGTCCTGTTTGCACCTAATAACGCATCTGGTAATGATTCCACCTCATCGGCTGAATTACTTGTTAAAGAATGTAACTCTTGTCTAGACCCGCACACTGCCCTCCATCTCTCTGTTTCTAGCTCAGCTTGTTTCTTTCTTGACTGAGATATTTTAATCTCCTTCAGTAGCATTTGTTTTTCAGTTGTATCCAATTTGGATTTCCTCAGCAAGGCGGACAAGATTTTATCCTTTTGTTCCAAATCCCTGCGCAACTTTATAATCTCCAAAGAAAGCTTCTGGACCATTGAGATCGACTCCTCTTTCTCCTTGAAGACCAAGTCAAGTTCTTGCTTTGCAGCCTCCACTTGTTGCAGAGCACGACCCATCTCCGCTTCAAGTTGCCGCTGGTTTGAGACAATCTCAATGAAGGCAGTCTTGTGTTTCCAGAGCTCAGAAGAATGCTCCCGATTTTGTCTTTTCACAGTTTCCCTTAATTCCTCCATGATGGCTTCGGCCTTCTGTAGCTTTTCTTCTAGCTCCTTCCTCTTCCCTTCCTCTTCCTGCAGTGCCTTGTCTCGAGATTGTATCAGATGTTCTTTCTCCCATACCTTTCCATTTAGACTTGATATAACTTCTTCTTTCTTCGTCTCGAGAACCCGTAATTCATTTAGAAGAGCTCCAATCTGCTGACGGAGTTTCTTCCTTTCACTCAACCAGCTCTGCTCCTGCGCAGCAAATATGCTGACGACCTTCTCATTAGCCTTTGCATCTTCGCTTCTTCTTCTCTTCAACTCGCTCAACTCTGACTCGGTTCTCTCAAGCTTCTGGCGAAGTTCAGACCTCCCCTCGTTGGTTTCTCCTCTCTGAACTTTCCACACGAGCAACCCCAGGAGATGAGCACTTCCTTGAAGCATTTTATCCCGTGTCTCAGACCACTTTGCACTATCCATATCGGATCCTGAAAGGAGTCTGAGGGCAACGAATGCACATGAGAAGCCAAAGTACATAGGATAGAAGCTATCAGTATTCTTTTCGGGGGTTAACAGACATGGAGCTGAGATCTCCTTTTCACCCATCATCACTCACGGATTTGCTTCCTCTAGCCCTCTGGAAATGGCATGCCGATTAGGGACGCAGGTCAAGAATTCGCATTAAAAAAGTGAAAAGACCATATCAGAATAACGGTTCGAAATTCTTGAGAAGAATTAAGAAACAACCAAAACCATAATAGTGTTGTTTTGATGGGTAAAGAGGACCGGGTGAAAGAAGGATCTTCCCTTGAATACCCTGGTTCAAAAACAAAATAAACGAAAACACAGCAGGCTTCTCACTTCTTAGGAAGACCAAAATCTAACCTCCTCTTATTCACAAGACCACCGATCTTTTACAAGTAAAAATTTACATGAAGCTCAAAAAGGAAGATTGGAGCTGAATGCATGGTTTTCACACGTGTAGGAGATGGCAATGTCAGTTAGAAAGGAGTGTACTACAAAACAGAAAAGCCGGAGAGAATCATGGAAAATTATTCACAGGTTTTCAGAAACATACTCCGTCTCCGTCCGATCAACCCCCACCCAGTTGTTTTCTGTTCATTTTCTCAAATTGGGAAATGGCCAGCGGAAGCAAAAGCTTTGGATTCCTGGTGGTTGGTCGCGGCCATTACTAACTGTTACTAAAAAAGCTTAGAGAGAGAGAGAGAGAGAGAGAGATTTCTCTATCAGATTATCTAGTCTAGTCTAGAAAAAAATCGTATTTTTTTGCAGAGATGCTGACTAGAAGGAAAAGGGTAAAGAACACCTTTCCTTCACCCACCACAAAGTTACAACAGAACCAGTAAATAATATTCTGAATTACTAGTATAAAGAGCAGAAACAGAAACTTGTATTCATGGTTGATTGCATCTCTCAACTACCTTCCTCTTTTAGACCATTCACATTTTACAGGATCAGGTCAGGGATGGAGGTGAAGGAGCATCTAACATCTAAAATGGGCCACGTAAGCTGACTAGGCAAACGTGGACCGGTCGGGTCAGTGGGTGGAGAGAGAACAAGGAAACAGTGAAACATACATACCATACACACTCCATTACTCCCTTCCCTGAACACTCACTTCCTCTCTCTCTCTCTCTCTGGAAGTCTGGATCACGGTTCACAGTGGTGGGAGACTTGAGTTGACACAGACACGTACCTCAAGCGCCTCCACACTTTTCTTAGACCAATAATAACACAACGCATCGACACTGACAGAAAACTAATAATAATAACAACAACACAATGCATCTATTATTGTAAAGTCAGAGAGCCACTTTCCGTGCATTTTAGTGCTTCCCTATCCAAAGTTTCTAAAAAGCGCCGGACAAACTCGTCTCTTCTGCTTGATAGGTTTCTGCATTCCGGCCCTTTTCAAAGATGAACCCAGGAAAAAACGGCCAAGTAGAGAAGAACCACCAAAAAAAAGGGGAGAGAGAGAGAGAGATAACACCCAGAACGGTAAAATGGCCAAACGTTAGAAAACTGGAAAAAAATCTGAGATCAACATTCATCATTTATGATGATATTTAAATCATCTCCTAACAGAAGAGTCCAACCAGACCAGATTTCCGTATATCGGATCCATTTACTATAGATAATCAAACCGAATCACCCAAGCCTTATTGTCATCATAAAACCCACCTCAGAGACGACGTTATCATGGGGATTGGGCCATACCATAGAACTTGGTTTCTCCTCTCTTTGCTCCCTTGCCTGATAGATACCTGTAAAGCAGGAACTTGTTGAAGAAACACGAGACCATCTCCTTCACCTAAAAAATAAAAATAAAATAATCAACTCTAAATATACAAGTTAAAAGGATAACAGCGACCTCCTTTTGGCCTTGATTTCAAGATACATCCTTGGAATCCAGACATGGAGGAGCTGTACCTGGACTGGATTCATTTTCTTTGTCAAAACTCAAAACTCAAAAGCAGCAGCCACCAGCCAGCAGTGTAAAGTTAGGGCCGGTTTGGCTTGCTTTGACAAAGAAAAGGAAGGAGACCCACATCCACATAAGGCTTGGCTTGCTTTTTCACCGGCCTCCCTTAATCCAGAGTGTAAAGTTAGGGCCGGTTTGGATGCTAGTTTTTCCTAAAACTAATGTTGTCTCAAAAAGTGTTTTTCTTTATCGTAATTAAGCTTTTTTTTTTCTTTTTTTGATAAAGGTAGAATTTCAATGTAACGAGTAACGACTCAGAAGTCATCAGAACCTCTGGCTCTGGTTCCAAGTTAGTGAGTTACCAACTTACCCAAAGTTAATTTTAATCATGTTTGACTGTGTATGCAATATCAACATTTTAATCCAACTAGCATAGCATGCATGGAAACCGGGTTCTAAATTCAAAAAATTATGTTGTTGGAATTTATCCAAACAGGTCCCAATGACCCCGTTATAAATTTCATTTTTCCAAAGAAAGAACAATTATTGACGTTCGTCTTCGTCAGGGAGGGTCCCTCATTCCTGCACTACCCAAACAGTATCTTATCATCCCCCAGAGGAAAATTGTCCAAAGATCTCATCCTTCACTCTTTTTTTATTGATAAGCAATGAAAAGGAATTTATCAAACTTGTATATATATATAGTCAGCCTTGAAGGATGTCATCCTTAACCGGAAGCATCATCATGAAGCTGGAAAGAAGTTTACATCAATAATAGTTGGATGCATGATATATAGATCAGCCGGGACCAGCGTCCCCAAAACTCAAAATTCGGCCTTTGCTTTTGAGTCTGGCAGGTGATGGATCAAAGAGTCCGACCGTCTGGTCTGACCACCACAGTACTCGTTCAAATAAATGTGTGAATAAAAGATTAAAACAAAAAAGTGAGCACTTACAGCTTATCCTTTTACTCCAATTTTCATGTTTAGATGAAATTAAAATAACAAAAAATCCATTTGTTATAATTATGGCTTTCAAATTGTTATTGATTCGGACGGTTGAACCATTCAGCCCAAAAATCGTCCAAGCAATTGGTTCTATTTCATCCCTGAACCGTTCTTTTGTCAAAGACTGTTGATTTTATTTGGTCAGTGACTCACTGACATGGGAGATCAAAACATTGATCTGTTTGACATGAACAATGTTTTTTGGTTTTTTTTTTTATTTTTAAAATTGCAATGAGCCGTCTGTTTGGACTGGATGGTCAAACCACACTGACCCGGAAACCGGTGGCCAAAGTGGTTCTGATTCCGGGTCAGTTTTGAAAACATTGGTTATAAGTTAGAACACCTGGTTATTTGAGAAGATTTTCACCAAGTCACCACTACAAGTCATCTGAATAACCGTCTGTGACTGGTTACGGCCCAGACGGTCCAACCATGTCTAAGTCTGATAGAGTGTGCTGGCTTGGTCTTGTTGACCTGGGAATTGAATCTCGCACTCAATGAAGATTTCATTCCAATTTCCAAATCATATCTCATTTTGCAGTTGCACAGGATGATGTTCATATCCCACCGGCCAGCTGAAATTTGACTCCAATAATGGTGCACCTTTTATTTCTTGCTATCAAATATATTGATATTTTGATCTCACGGAACGAGTACTACGTAGACGGAACTTGGGCCTTTGGCAGGTGAAAGATTATTAGTATATATATGGTCGGTTCGGTCAGACTCAGATCGCTTTCTACCATCTGACCTCTCTGTAATTCTTATTCTCTTTTTTGAGCTTTAACTTTAGCTTCTTTTCCCCTACCATCCAAAAGTGTACAAATAAAAACTAACAGAAATATTCTCTTTATAAAAAGAATAGATGAAAAATACATTTTTCATTTATAAAGGTTTTCCTACCTTTTACTTCCCTTTCTTTATTTTTTCCTACAAATCAAACACTGCCTAAATGAAAGTGACTTCTTATTAATAAAGTCGGGCTGTGTTTGTATACTTGTTTTATTTTGCATTAGGTAAGATTTTAAGGGGGTAAAAATAAAATCTGGGTTCATTTTGGTTCAGATACGTTGCTTTTCTTTGTTTAGATTAGAGGGGAGTAAAATCATGAGGAGGGAAAGATTTTAATTTGCTTTTTCTTAACATCACATTTTTTGGTAGATGAAAATAATGTGATCGATCCTAGCGCAAATTTTACTCCTTAGAGGTGCACACAGTACACGGTTTCTGTAAAACAAACTCCAGGGGGAAACACAAACTGGGTGCAAAATTTATACCTGGTCCACAACACAAGCAGTATTAAGATAAAATTGGAAGGAAAATGTAAATTATCTCTTATAGAAGCTAGAGAAAGTAGAAGAAAACAATATGGAAGAGTCATGAAGCAAAACTGGTCCCACTCTTCAGTAAAAGAATATTTTATTCAGTTTTCTTCACAAACCAGACAATGTGTAATGTCTGTGGTTGGTCTCTCAGGATCCAGAGAAGCAGCCTATCATTTATATATGGGCATAACTTAAATTTGATTAGCTATGTGCGCCTACCAGCAATGACTAGGTAGGAGTTCTTGTTGGAAGATTGCTTTTAGCCAAATATTGTAAGGCTAGGGTGAAAGCAGTTGTGTATTAATACAGAGGCCCTTGAACTAACTCTTGCTCATATTTTTAGACAACTGGCCTAGAGTTGGAGCTTGAAGCTGTCTCTGAACTCAAAATTTAAAGGTTTGGCAGCTTTTGTGGATTGTTTGTGGTAAATCCTTTATTTCTTTTTGGAACCTTTTCCGTATCAATTTAAAAATGTCTTTTCATAATTAAATTGGCCATATTTTTCAAGATTGAATAGTCTCATCCATACAACTTTTAATCTATAATAAGGCTATCTGGATGCCTCCTCATAATGGGATTTCAGAGCTTGACCATAGTAGACAGAGCAAGGACATTTCAAGCAAAATATGGAATGCCCGAGTCCCACCTTGCTCTCAAAACTTTCTTCGGAAGGCTATTATCTTTACTATATAATGCCAATACTTGCTTCAGACAACCATATGAAAAAAGTTTAATCCATTTCTCTCTCTCTCACACAGCTTTTCGGCTTTAATCTCACTCTGCAATGCATGATTCTCATGATGAACAATGCTCATTATGTCAAGTTAAAATTTATAAGGCTATCAGTTTTTCATGTATATCAGCTGAAATCAAGCATGATATTGATGCTGTTTATTCTTGATTATTTATTATATTTGGAATTTTGGAAGTCTTCAATCTCAATGTATCTAATTTTTGAAAACCAGCAGCTCCTGCTGCTGCCATTGTTCATAAAATTAGAAGTATTCACATTGGGGAACCCCCCCTAAAACTAGAGCTTGATATTGAAAACCATGTCAATTTTGGTATTGCAATCCAATCTATAGGATCCTTGTTTAACGGTTTAACCCATATTGGATTAACCTCGTAGACAGAATATTTTCAGATGGAAAGTTCAAAATATCGATACCAAAATATCATAATATTGATAGTTTTTTTTTCGAATCTGATTCAGAGGGGCTGGTTTAAAGTCTGTCCACCCTCTGAATTGGTCGAGACCCCGAAAGACCCCCTGTAGGGGCATATCGGGAAGCCCCCGATATAATATGTATCAGTATCGATACTTTGAATCTTGCATGGTTCAAATTAAAATTTAAGTTTTAATTTTTTAATATAAAATAGGATTTGAGGCCAAAAAGGCATTTTTTTAGCAAAAAATAATGGGATAAGGTGCCTTGAAATGGGTCCAAATATAGTAGGCACGTTAGATAAGCACAATGAGTGAGCACGTAATAACTATGTGACACATGCCCTAGTTAATGTGCCTTTCATCCAAACGTTTTGCTCCGTTAGATAGAAATTATCCATTATTTTATTATCTTTGTCAAAATAATTAAAAATAAAAACAATGAAAAAGGAAAATGTAAATGAATCCCAACTCCCAACACGTTTAGGTTTTTTCTTTTTCATTGTTTTTATTTTTAATTATTTTAATAAAGATAATAAAATAATGAATAATTTCTGTCTAACAGAACAAAAATGTTTGGACGAAAGGCACATTAACTACGACATCTGTCACACAGCTATTACATACTCACTCATTAAGGCACATTAACTGGGACATCTGTCACAGCTATTATGTACTCACTCATTATGCTTACCTAATGTGCCTACTACATCTGGACCCTTTGAAATACATACATTGCAAAATGTTATCCAAAATTAAAAAAAAAAAAATCACCTCAATTGAAGAACCAAATGCAAAGTTATAGCCTCCAATAAAAATGATAAAAAGCAGGCCGGTTTTATGAAACGGGGACTAATCCATTGGCTCTCCTGTGAGAACCTGAGATAAAACACCAATTTTGGCCAATTTTTTTATCACCTCTGGTTTTGAGGGTACGACTGAATCAGCTGGTGGACCAATTCACAGCTTTTCCAGTTATACCGGCTGGTCCAATCCAGTTCTTTGAACACTGAATATTTTTTGTCACTTGATCAGGTCAGAAATACAAAGGACATACAATGGGAAGTTCACATCGGCTGCCATAATGATAGCACCACATTTTTCAGTCTAACTTTGCAGGGGATCTAATTTATGAATGGTTTTGTTTTCTAAAACAAAAACAACTGTGCTGCCAACAAAAATAATACATTTTTTTTTTTCTGATAGCCACAGATGGACACACCAATCAATGGTCCCGCCATGAGAATTATGGATGGTAGCAACCATCACCATCTGAAAACCATTCCGTTGACTCCTCCGATGTCCAATCAATGCAAATTAATTCTTTGATCATGGCTTCCTCACTATCAATCTGGATAATTTCAACATCCACAAGTAGCATCTATTGGCCCAATTGTTTCCAAAAGAAAATCCTTGCTATTAGCTTCAGAAATATAGCTCGCAATTCAAGAAAAGCAGAAGAAAATGATGACATTTACTAATTTTTCTTTCATGCTTTTCTTTTGGAGGAGGATGCTCTAACCAGACTTCTAGTATTTCCTCTTCCTTATCTTGAAGGTACAGGATCGGATAACATCATCATCCGTCTTCAGTCTTTCCTCAAGTGCTTCTATGGACTCTGGTTTGGTGAAATAGGTGAAAAGAAGGTAGATTCCATCCAAGTATGTGTTGCTCTCTCCAGCCGTATTTTTCTTCTTGATGCTGTATGCAAGCGGAATGACTCCTCTGTTGAATACCTCAACATACATCCCACCTCCAGCAACGAGCAACTGCAAGAGAAAACAAATGAACAAAATCCTTAGAATGCACCAAGAAATTTTTAAAATAAATTAATTTATTGAACAAGAGGAACCATTTCCTAGACAGGCAGGATGAGACATTTAGTATTCTGCGTCATAAGTGATCCACCCTAACTGTGTTTTGCTTTTCTCTTAAATTTTATTAACGTGTCATGGGAAGAAATACAACCAAACAAACTTTTTTGCATTTACCCTTCATCAATAAGTTTGCACATACATTGACAACGTAAGATTAACAGTAGTTGTTCTCTTGGTCTTCCAGAGAATGAACTAGAACTCTTTGTCAGATGAAATTTCCTACTTATGCTGCAAGGAGAGATGCCATGCACCAGACAATCAATCAGAAAAGGGACCTTATAGATGGACCACATGTTAGGTGCCTAGTCCAGTTCTTCTCTACATATTACCATGTATCTACCTTTCAAAATAATATTAATGGTTGGAACAAATATTTGTATAAAGATTGCTAAATAAGAGGCTTTCATTTCTTCTATGTCAGGGGCTCTGTGCCACCATGGGGCTGAAATTTGCCCCAAATCAACTTTCAGGCAACCACCTAGGTTGTCACATGGAAGACTATCCACAATCTTTTTTATTTTTTGATAGGAAACGGTAACTTTCATTAAGAATATTAAAGAAGAACAACTTTCACCACCCAAAGGATGGCTAAAGAGATCAAAATTATAAACAGTCTACAAGCAAGCCCAAAATAAAGCCCCCTATTTACTCCTTGCTTTGCTAGAGCATCGGCCATTCCATTTGCTGATCTGCAATCTTATATCCACAGTTCTTGTCAAGAAATTAATACTATTTCAGACAAATTTCCCAAATCAGACTTTCAAAAAGTAAGTCAGTTGGTTATTGATATGCAATCATGATAAAGGAATCTTAAGTTTAAATATAAAGCCAGTGGATATTTAAATTTTAAACCCATTTGTTTTTGAAGTTTCCACAAGATAATATAATGTGAATGTGGTGCAAAAGATTCTACGTTAATGTCTATAAGGTAATATCTTGTAGATTTTCTGCAACATATTAATAGGCAATCAAGACTACAATCAGCCTTGAACCCTAATAGATTTCAGATTAGGAAAGGTAGAAGAAAAGTAAGAGAAAGAAAGAAAAAGAGAGGAGAAGAACTGGAGAACACAAAGGTTTGAAAGAAGGGACAGATTCTAATTGACCTGCCGCCGCCACTCTCTTAGTATTTATAGGTTATGTTCAGTACATAGGGGAAAAGGACAGATCTGCCCTTAGTACTTACATGACAAATAAAGCAAATAAAAAACTGAAATAAAT